TGTGAATGGGTGAATGACTGATTGTGTTGTAAAGCGCCTTGGGGGGGTTCTAGGACTCTAGAAGGCGCTATATCAAATACAGGCCATTTACCATTTACCATTCCAATACAGCCAACTACATTTTCACTGAATTAGCAAAACCTGAAATAATTGGTGTTATGCTTTTAGTAATGCAATTCGATATTTCAGTCAATAGAAAAAACTCAGCTCTGTATACGGAACATCATATTACGGTTTTCTGAATTTTTTTCCTCTCCAACAGGAAATGGATTGGTGCGTGTGTGAGTAAGTGAGTTCACGTGTGTCTTAACCTCTGTCTCTCTTCACGGCAATCAATTCATTCAGTTTTACTTAATAGAAAACCTTTTATTTTTATTCATGCTGCATTCAGACCAAGTCCTTTATGTGTGACTGCAAAAACAGTTCACTGACTCAAAAACAAGTCTCAATACGACAGTGACAGTTTTTTACAGCAAGCTAAAAAAATACAAAAATAAATCAAATAGTTGAGTTATCTGCTTTTTGCAGATGATGTGGTCCTGCTGGCTTCATCAGAATGTGATGTCCGGTTCTCATGTTCGCAAAAAATATTCTGTGGACTGTTGAGACAAAACTGGATGTTTTAGATGGTGTGTGTCCAACAGTTAAGCATGGTGGTGTTAGTGTGATGGTCTGGAGCTGCTTTCAGCATGGAAGCATTGTTTGGCAATGTCTACTGATATAATTTCCTGATGTGTTACAACCAATCAGCATGAATTAACCACATGTCCAGCCCAGCGACTTTACCGGGCCTTTCTAAGCTCACAACCCAGTTCAGGTCCTCTGCTGATCCCTGAAATGTCCCAGAAAATGGTCCTTTTGGGTTGGCTGGTCAAATGGGGAAAATGTGTCTCGTGAAGGTTTGGGGAAAGTACCCAGAAGTTTTGATAGTGGAAACTGGACTCTAATCCTTCATTTTTACCAGTGAAAAGGTTGGTTTTAAGCGAGGAAGCGTCATCCCAAGTTTATGTAAGTCAGACTAATGCTGTGTGAGCTCTGAACGCCGCGTGTGTCTGCATCAAAGCCCGATAATCACACAACACTCTCCCTTTGTTATATCACTCCATCCCTACCTCCTCCCTTCCTTCCCCTCTATCCCTGTGCCACCTGCTTTTTTCTCCTCTGTGTTAGACCGCTCTCCTGCCACACCTAATGCTTCCACTGATTTTCTTTTCTTTTATTTATTTATTTTTTTGCTGCATCACGCCTCCGCATACCTCGAGAAATTGCAAACCAACTCGTCTAATCAGAACGGTGGCGCACTGTGCTGCAACAGTGGCACACTTTGTTTTTGTACCCGCTGATGTGTCATATCCAGAGCACAAAGCTCAAGCATGAAAACGGCAAAAGTCAAACTGTAAAATTAGAATGTTACATAGAGAATGCGCCGCAGCAGTGTGTCGTGATTCGAGTTCCTCTGAAGCTTTGCAGGTATTTCCCAAAGTTTTCTTGGCTCTCCTTTCATGCGGTTTTCCTCTTTGCAAGATTTATTTTTTTATTTTTTTGTGTCCTGCTGTTTTACATCAGTGGCGTGTTGCCTGGTGGTGCACCTAGCAGTGCTGCAGCTCTCATTAGCACCTAGGCTGACAAGACTGACATCTCGTCTGAGGCTTGTTTTCCTTTTCTCTCTCCTGTCAGCTCCCTCTTGCCACTTCAGCCCCCTGAATGCTCTGCTACTTGCATGAACTCCCCTCCAACATTCTCCCTCTGTGCTTCACCCACTCCCTCCTTTCCCCATCCTCCCTTCACCCTGTCTCCATCGCTACCAGGGGTTTTTAATTAATGGCGAGCCATGATGCTTATCTTATCAGCAGATCATTCGGCTTTCTATTAACTACACTGACAGAGATGGAAGGATGCAAGGGATGGATCACACACACACACACACACACACACAAATACGCTCAAACACCAACAGACATCGGCATGCCTTTCAGTGGTTACATACTCCTAAGTGGAGACACGGACGGATGTAAATGCAAGAACACGGACATAAACGGTAACAAACACCAACAGGCTGCAAGGCGATCATGCTCACACAAACACAGCCGTACACACACACGAGAAACAAACCGCCCTGATAGTATCTAGCTCTGTGATTTACAGAACCCTGTTTGAGGGTCTCTCCTCCTAAATCCCTCAAATGCCCTGGGAATCCCTCCTTCTTCGTCCCTTTATCTATCTCTCAGCTGCCTCCCTCCTTCAGTCCTGCTTTCTCTCTGAATGAACACTTCTCATTCGGCAGATAAAGAGCTGTCCACGCTGGAGCCCGCTTTATCTCTGAGAGCCACGTTTACTCCCTGTGAATGTGCCGCCTTTCACCACTGCTTTGTAGACGCCACTTGCTTGATCCGACGGAAATAAGAGCGCAGCGTCTTGCCGTTGCCATAACTTGGGATGCACCCTCACACACACACACACACACACACACACACTCACACAATTGTCCCATATTTGCCACATTTTCATGTTTGAGCTGGCTGAGCCAAGGGGTGAAATAAAATCATGATAGCTTCATGGGGCTTACAGTGAGCCACACTTTGCTACAGATTTGTAACCATGAAGGCACAGACAACGTAATAAATTCTCAGACGCTGCAATCGATGAGAGACACTAAATATTTCTACACCGCTTTTTAGTCAGAGTCTTTTGAAAGTTGACAGTTTTCTGAAGGTGCTGAGAGACAGGAGCAGTTGAGCACAGTGCTGGGTGGTTATTGGGTTATTGGAGGGAAATTTTACAGCATTTGCAGCAACACACTAATAATTTTCTTATTTTGGGACCTGTAACTAAACTATTAGTAAATAATCAAACAATAAAAGAAACCATTTCCTGTGCATTACCAAGGGACTGACTGTTTATTTCATATATTTGTTTTCATAAATATGTGAACATCTGCTGGTTTAGAGTAAATCAATCAATCAATCAATCAAATTTATTTATAAAGCGCTTTTCAAACAAAGTGCAATTCAAAGTGCTTTACAAAATGACCCCAGATTCCCATAACAGGTTAAAAACAATAACAGACATATGCACGCACACGCACAGACACACACAGGCTCTTTCACACACACACACACACACACACACACACGTAAAAATTATATTTGGATGAGCCCAGATGAGCCAAGTATGGTAACGCAAAGAAACAAACTGTAAAGAAACAAACTAGCATTGCTTGATCTCAGCTTGACAGCTGAGGTAAATTGCTTCTCTGCAATTCATAAAACTTTTATCTTTTTAAAATCTTGTACAAAACGTGTTCCTTTCTTAGGGACACCATTTAGAGGTGGGAAAATATGTTGCCCCTTCACCAACTTCCATGATTACGGCTGGAAGCAATGCCTCTCGTTCGCAAACGTGCACCTCTAGCTAGGCTACAGAGTTAAAACACATAGTTTTCCAATTCTCACGTATGCCTTTTATTCATTTATATCTACATATGCATCTGTCTAGGTCAGTGGTGTAAAATTTGCGGCCCGCGGGCCGCATCCGTCCCGCAAGCGGGTTAATCCGGCCCGCGAGATGGTTGTGTAAACTTTATTTTCATACTTTACAATGTAGAGTGAAAATAAACTCATCTTTGTGAGCAAGTTTTCTCTGTAATGAGTATAAATAAAACAAAGCTGCGCTCAAGGCCCACACAAGAACTTGAATCACATCCTGAAGTTGGCCACCACTCAGGATGTGACTTCTGATGTTGATGTGCTGGTGAAAGCTAAAAGATGTAAAGTTAAATGAGTCAAATATACTTTAAGTGCTGCATGAAACTGATCTAGCCAAGTGATCTGTAAGCTCTTTGAATCACTAAGGAATGTATTTTTTATTTTTTTTAAATGTATTTATTTATTTTTTTCAAATTTTCAAGTACACTTCAGATGTTGTACTTGTACTATTTTGGATACACTGTCCTCAGGCTCCAGCTTTGTTTTATATTGATTGTATTAAAACAAAGAGAACAATCTGAAGTTTTTTTTAATTTACCGGTCCGGCCCACTTGGGTCTAGATTTCCCTCAATGTGGCCCCTGAGCTAAAATGAGTTTGACACCCCGTGTCTAGGTACTCACACAAACGTGCATGCTCTGTGATTGATATCTGTACGTAAACAGATGTCTGACGCTATTGGCTAATGCTTAGCGGTGCTCAATTCATATTGCATGGGTCTCTATGGGACGGGGTTACAAGCTTAAAAAAGGAAATTCAATGTGCTGCATGCATTAAATCACAGAACAAGGTCAGACTATCACTTTTACAGATTAAAAACAATCATACATTATTCTTGAAACATTTCCATTTAACTGAACTCCTCACTCTCAATCTTAAAGATTACCTTTAAATATATTCTCGTTTTTTATGCTTTTGTCCAAAAATACTCAATGTTTTAAGTATTTATAGAATATGCTTGTTTTAACTGTTGGCATTGTCTTTCCTTTACTCACGTCTTGGGTTTAGACAACTGGGGATGCTGCATAATTTGTGTGTTGCTTGGTTTGTGGAGGGTGCTCTCTTAAGAAGATATTTATCTTTTGTGGCTAAAACAGTGGCGTGTCCAGATCTTTTTAAATGGGGTGGCCCAGGTGAGGCACAACTTTGTGCATGGGTGGCACCAAATGTTATGCTTTTTTTGTTTTACCCCCAAGCCTTTTGTGGACAATGAAAAGCCTATTTAAAGGTAAATTAGTGTGGCGGCACCTGGGGTGGCCAATCAGAGTCCAAGGGTGGCATGTGCTACCCCAGGCCACTCCCTGGACACGCCCCTGGGCTAAAAACATTTTATAACCACAACCTTCTTTTTAATTTTCCACCCTGTGTTTTCTGTGGAACCATGGATGGTTGGATCTGTTTAGTTTCTGGAGCGCTGGAAGTAAAGTCGGGGATTTCATTGGAATCATTTGAGGTTACCTTTTGTGTTTTGGTAATGTGCTGTAAAATCAAAGTGCCTTTGTTTGTTTACCCACAGAGAGTTTGGGTGGAGAGATCCGGAGCTGCCAGAGGTGATCCAGATGTTACAGCACCAGTTCCCATCAGTGCAGTCCAATGCTGCAGCCTACCTGCAGCATCTCTGCTTTGGGGACAACAAGATCAAATCTGAGGTATGACAGGACAGGAATGGTTAGTCACTGGGAGATTGATGGCTAAGTTCTCGCAACCGTCGTGTCTCTGTACATAATCATAACGTCGGCGTATCACTCTTCCAATTTTACAAATGCTGACTGTTTGGCGACGTCTGCCAATATTGAGATGCAACCAATCAGCATGAGTCCCACCCAGCAAGTCTACTGGCTAATTTCTGAGTTCAGGTACTACGCTGGTTTCTGAAATGGCCCAAAAATGGTTCTTTCAGGCCGGCCTGGTAAAATGGAGACATGCCCATGCCACAAAGGTCTGGTAAAAGTCAAAAACATTTCTGGAGAACCTTTTAAGGATTTGCACATAAACTTGCTAGGTTTGTAGCTTTTTTCTGCCGAACTAGACCACTACCATAAAAACCACATATACATTTTGTGTTCTTGTACCTATAAACATAGAAATATTAAATACTTTTGGGGTTTTTTAAGCAACTGTTGTGGTATGCATCCTAGAACCTTTCAAATAAATGAAGCAAAGGGCACTACACGATCTCTGAGGTGCATACTAATGCTAACAATTAGACTGCTTTCTTCTCTTAAACACACACACACACAACACACCCCAACCCTTACCAACCAGAAACTGAAAAATGTAAGATTTCATTCAGATGTGGAATTTATTACACGTTTAATCACAATGATGGAGGATTAAATCCCCAATATTCTATAAGATTCCAGAAATAAATGCTACTATTAACAGTTTAGATAATAATTGATGCATTTAAACAGAAAGTGTGAGTACTTTACTTTCATTCATATTGTGTTTACTACTATCCACCCACGCAAATTACGCAAATAACTCACTTCCACGTTTTATTCCTTTCCCACTCCCTGATTTATGCAACTCTTATCTATGAAAAGACGCACCGATGGTTCTTTCTTTCTGTTCGGTGTAATTATAGATCTGGTGGGTAAAGAAAAAGTAAATGTTCAATGTTTCACAGATCTAAGGCTAAGGTCTGCTCCCACATAAAGGTATCCAGTGTCTGAAATTAGATTAAGAACTACCACACACACACACACACACACACACACACACACACACACACACGTTAGCATGTATTTGTTCAGCAGTATTTCACAATAAGCCGTTAATGAAAAACCAACTTGACTATCACAAAGCTAGATATGGGTTATTAGCTGGGTTAAGGATCCGTTGCCTGTATCGACACAACATTTCTTCAAAGCTCTGCTGTGATGAAAGTAAAGATTTGTTTTAGTTAACGAGGGAATCAGTTATCCTGAGTAAGGGTTGACAATGGAACAAATCAGCACACCAATAACCTGGAAAGTAAAAGGATTTTTTAATAATGATCAGATTTCACAAAAAAGGGTTACAGAAATATCAAGTTTTAACATGTTGATGACTTTTATGATGTTTAATAAGTTTCGAGATTTTATTCATGAACAGCAGCTTCAGGCAACAGTGATGGCACTTAGTTCTGAGACTTTTATTTAAATCGTACAAAGACTCGACTTTGACTCAAATCCTCCTTTTGATCTGGGACATTTTGATGCATTTCTGAGTTTAAAATTTGTAACGATCCCCCACCATGGCAAAACCGCACAAATGAGAAAAAAACACAATACTAATAGACGGAGATGGGTCTTGTACTCATGTTTTCATTTAACTGTAATACCCTTCCTTTCCATTACAATAATGGAACGTTTAAGAAAAATGTATTATCTAAATTATTTTAAACAATTAACAGGACTAACTCTCTAGTGATGGATGCGAATGGAATGAAATGAGGTGGAGTGTGTGTTGGTGCAATGTCCATTAAGAACCTCTGTCTGGAGAAGCGAGTCTGAGTGGGGGGTGTTGTTTTGCTCCTAACTGATCGGCGTTTGAACTTTAGTCAGGAAAGACATGAGACGCTATCTTGTGCCGTTCTACATTACCCATCAGGGACCCCCGTGTTAGATCAGGCTGCCAGGTCCTCGGACCCTCCCCTCGTGCTGGAACCGATGAAACAGCGTCGACAGCACGACAAACCAGTCTATGGATAGTCTCCAGGTAAAAACGGCAGGTGTTTCACAGCATCAAAGGGACCCCCCTTTGGGTCAACGAGTTCAGCTTTTATTCTGAAGGAACCGTTGTTTTGTTGGTAACAACGACAGGATTTTCCAGCTTTTCTCAGCTTAAAAGTAAAATGTACAGATGGCCGGTCCGCACTTCACTTAGCAATGATGGACATCAGACGATCTCGAGAGCTGGCTGAATACTGAACACAAAATGGCGTTGTTCTGTTTTATTAATCTTGGTTGTTTACGATTCTGGACGAATCGCAGTGGACAGATTAAATAAACACCACAGAAACTCTGCCACGCTTCAGAATGAAGGTTCTGATTGGATGAGTAAACAATGTGTCATGAGTTGACATTACGTGGATCAGGATGTCTAGTGCAGTTAGACCAAAGTCATATTACTCATTAAACATATTAACCATAACATTGTGATTTCACAGATCGGTCACATGGTTATTGTTGACTAACAGTTGTTTTGATTAGCTTTATTAAAATAGAGTTCTTTGATTAATTAAAAGAAAAGCGTTCATCTTCTTTCTTCTGTCTTCTTGCTGGAGTGTAAACATTAGAAGTGAATGCATGACCTTGGCTGTTCATGCACACTGGCACTGTGTCACAAGGACAGCTGTTAGAGGGGAGAAATGGTTCCTTCATCACGTTACATAACTTATATCTAGCTATAGGCAATCCTTTTGCTTATAATTTAAAGGAATCAAACTCCTGTCCTTTTCATCCACGGTTCAGTTCTACCTTTTTCAGCAGAACTCCGATTCACACCAGGATTAGAAAAACTGAAAGCCTTTTACAAAGCAAATCTATATTTTTACGTGTCCTCGTCCTGCTTGACTTTGTCACGGATTTATGTCCCTCAAGTAACGCCCGCTGCAATACTGTTGAGCTGAAACGGTAACAGTACAGAGAGGCCCAACAGGTCAGCCCACTGTTGTCCACATTTCCTTGTACAGATCCGATAGAAATGAACCATGCCACCAAGTGGGCGGTGCTAAGCTAAGGATAGAATTAATGTATGAGAACGTTTGGGGCCCTTTTGCCTGACAGCCACAGAGGGTAGCTTCAGGAGGTCAAGGTGTGTTATTTATATGGCTCCCATCTACCTGAATCCTCTTGCAAAGGCTTACGTCTCGGCCCGGCCACTCCGGTCATCACAGGATCGTCGGCTAGCAGTGCCTACACCACGCTCAGGACAATCCAGACTTTTCTCATGCATCGTTCCACAAATGTGGAATGACCTTCCAAGCACTACCAGAATAGGAGCTTCCTCTTCAATTTTCAAGAAACTCCTGAAGACCCTGCTCTTCAGAGAGCGTCCCCCCTCTCTACTGTCCACTCCTTGTTCCCTCCTCCCCATGACTGATGTCAAGTTGTTGTTGTTGTTGTTGTTAGCCTCAAGGGCATCATGCAGATTATCACTTGTAAGTCGCTTTGGACAAAAGCGTCTGCTAAATACATAAACATAAACATTTGTGTGTTAGATAAACCAATTTAAATGAACATACTGAATAACGGTCATTTTTGGGAGTGTATCAGGAGCAGTTAGTGGTAACGGTCTTCCTCCCCTGGAAGTAAAGAAGTAAGAAAGTCAGGTCTGCTAGCTGGAGATTCTCTAGACGACAAGGAGCTTTAAACAATAAGAATTGGTGCCGAAACCAACAAAGCCACTTTTAATGTCCCATTGACAGATATATAGACCCTGGAGAAAAAAATAAGTTATCAACAGGGACGTGCTGTACACTGTAAGAAATAAAATGTTAAATTGTCTTAACCAATAGCGTTCTGATGCTGTTTTTCTAATAAGAACTAAAGTTTAATTGCAAAACATCATTTTTCACTCAGATTCACCTTCTCTCTCCCTGAAGCAATCTCAGACACCTGCATGCACGCATTCATAATTCCATCATCCTCAAATCTTAGCACATCCAACACAAGGTCTATTTGTGCAAGCTTAAAATATCAACTGTTAAAGATTGTCCAACAAGGTTGCCAATGTTGATTGTTTTTCCAATGATTGTCATTTCAAATCGTTAGTTTAAATTGAAGAATTAGAACTCTTAAAATTTAAACTTGTCTTTTCATTGAACTGAAACGCAGACAAACGGATTTGATCGTCAGTTTATCGATGAAAACAACCTTCGAGTCTTCTTATCTCTATAACATTTGGTTATTAATTTGTTAAAATTAATATTCCAGATTACTATGTAGAATGGTTCATCTTTCATAAAAGAGCCAACAACCATTACGCTACACTGAATAAAGGTCATTTTTGGGAGTGTATCAAGAGCAGTTAGTGGTAACGGTCTTCCTCCCCTGGAAGTAAAGAAGTAAGAAAGTCAGGTCTGCTAGCTGGAGATTATCTAGACGACAAGGAACTTTAAACAATAAGAACTGGTGCCGAAACCAACAAAGCCACTTTTAATGTCCCATTGACAGATATATAGACCCTGGAGAAAAAATAAGGTTTACCTGTTTTGTTGAATCAACAGGGACGTGCTGTACACTGTAAGAAATAAAATGTTAAATTGACTTAACCAAGTTATGTCAACTGGTTCTATTAAACCATTAAAGAATCTCCAGTTTTACTAAAACTTGGCTACGTGTGTACATGACCTGAAGCTTGTGGTCTAGACTTCCAAAGCTGTGAAGGTTTTCATTGCTAAATCTATGACTTTGCTTTGTTCTTTCCTCCGAACAATATCAGGCATCCGTAGGTTAATACTTTGTTCAGCCCAGTTTAGAATACTCAGGAGAGCAGCGTTAGCCAAGGGCCAAAAACCCAATTAGCCAATGGTTCAAAGGCACTAAGACGCGTTTAGCCCTAGGAAACGTGTCAGACAACAACAAAGCTGAAGCCCACGTGTTTCAGACATTGAGTACAGCACTGAGCAGATTCACTGGCACCACCTTTTTCAACACCTTCA